TTCCAACTCATAGCGACCCTGTATAGGGTTTCCAAGGGGTGGCTAGTGAGTTTAGCCACGGACCTTGCAGTTCAAACCAACCTTGCAGTCCAGTGTTTTAAGGCATAGTGCTTTGTACTCAAAATATTAGTTTACAAATCACCCTCTTCTTCAATTTCAGTGGCATTTTAATCCAAATCCAGATAGGTTCCTTTTGCATGTGTGTTGTTGTAGTGTGCCATCAAGTGAGTTCTGACTCATAGTGATCACATATAGGGTTTCTGCAAAGTGACTGATGGGTTTGAACTGCTGACCTTGAGGTTATTATTGAAGCAATCCAGTGTTTAATCCTCCAGCACCACTCCAAGACTCAAGTATGTTGTTAAATGTGTTGAATAAATTCCAATTCATCGCAACACTGTATAAGGTTTCCAAGGAGCAGATGGTGGATACGAACTGCCAGTCTTGAGATTAGGAGTCCAGCAGTTATCCTATACACTACATCAGGACATATCTGTAGTCGTTATGCTGCTGTTGTTGATAAGCGTCAATGAGTTAGTTCCAACTCATAGCAACCGCAATAAACCAAAACACTGCCCAGTACTGCACCATCCTCACAATGGTTACGCTGGAACTATTGCTACTGCTACTGTGTCAATCCATCTCATTGGGAGTCTTCCTCTTTTCACTGAGCCTTCATATTACCCAGCATGAAGTCCTTCTCCAGGGACTGCTTCCTCCTGATAACATGTCCAAAGTATGAGATGAAGTCTCACCATTCTGGTTTCTAAGGAACTTACTGTCTTTGCTTTTTCTAACACATACTTGTTTGTTCCTCTGGCAGTCTGTGGTTCTTTCAGTAGTCTTTTCCAACACTTAAACTCAAATGCATCAGTTCTTCTACAATCTTCCTTATTCATTGTCCAACTTTCACATTAATATAAGGCAATTAAAAATACCATGGCTTGGGTCAGGTGTATCTTAGTCTTCAAACTAGTCATCTTCCATCTGGAACACTTTAAAGAGATCTTGTGCAGCAGATTTTCTCAATGCTATAAGTTGATTTAATTCTTAACTGTTGCTTCCATGAGTGTTGATTGTGGATCAAAGCAAAATGAAGTCTTTGACAATTTCAGTCTTTTCTCCATTTATCATGATGCTATTTATTGGT